ATACACAGTTCCGCTCGCTGGAGATAAAAAGGTATTTTTTCCCTCGTAGAGTGTTGCCATGGCTTGCTTTTAAATCGTTGAGTTTGTTACTCAAAAATTCATTAAGTTTTAGAAAATATGAAATCGATAATAAAACAAATTCCAAATTTCAAATTTGGTCTTCCACGTGCCCATATTCGTAGGAGCATTACGTCATTCAAAATTCGATGACTCTATGTGCCGTTGTTTATCACAATGCAAGAACTAGACATACATTTATGCAGATTTTTCATTATTTGATTTCTTCAAATATAATGCATGACTCTAACATTTGGTGTCAACAGTTTGAAAAGTGAAACGGACATTTATAGCGATTCAACGCAAAATCGCAAAACGAAAATAATAGTCCATCGGAGACAAAGCCCCTTTGGACTAATAATGAACTACTTGTTCTACAGATTGTTTTCTTTTACTGATTAATTAACTTTCTTTTAGGTAAGTTTACCAATCGATTGCTTTATTAATACAATATATTAGTATAACCCAGAAGCAAAATTAAATTGGAACAAGATTTATAGTTTATAAATTACTTGCTTCTAGCAAATATTTAACCATTTCATTTAGCATTTAAAGTAGCATACTATATATGTCGTTGATTGCTGTGCCTCTTGAGCTGAAAAAGGAGCTATTCCCTCAAATTGTAAGGATTATGGAATTAAGCATTTGTAGTGTTCCTCTCTTTCCTCTCCCCTTGCTTCTTATAATAAAGTATTTTATAAAAGTAAATGATGGCAGTTTTACATTGCTTTACTGAAAGTGTGAAAGAAGGGCCTGGATGGTTTCTTTTTTTTTTCTCTTAATTAAACATTGTTTATTTAAAATAAAAATAACGAACTTGGTGTCTTTTATTTTTCAGCACATTTTGTATCTTATGCAAAACAGACATGAGACGTTAAGAATTATGGCTATTAATCACAGAACTGTTATTTATTCACGTATAGTAAAAACAAAATCATTATATTGGTGTTTTTCCATGAGCCAAATAGTATGCTTATTCGTGTGTTTTCAATTTTGAATGTGTAAGTTGACGTGATTCCTTTTATTGTATTTATGTTATTCTTAGAAATATGGTTATTAACCCGAAGCGGCATTAAAGCCAAGAGGCTATTTATTAGTCTCAAAACGGTATTTTGCATCGTTTCACTTTCTGCGTTGATTCACTTTTCAAACTGTTGCCACAGTATATTATTGTCATATATTATATTTAAAGAAACTAAATAAGGAAGAATCTGCATAAATGCGTGAATGTTTCTCGCATTGTCAAAAAACAACGATACCTAGAGCCACCACATTTTGAATAACGTAGTCCTCGAACCGAACATGGGGACTTGGAAGCCCGAATTTTGAATTTCGAATTTGTTTCATTATCTATTTCAAATTTTGTAAAACTTTAACAATTTTTTATTAACAAACTCAACGATTTGAAAGTGAGTAATGGCAACGCTATACGAAAAAAAAAATTTTTTTTTAAATCTCCAGCGCGCGAGAGACTGCGTATCGGAAATTCTAAAGATATGCAGTTTTCCTTTTTTTCAATATTTTGTGATATTGCTATTGAATTTAATGTTATATGATTTAAGTGCGAAGAACATGATATTTAATAAATAAAGGTAACAGACAAAACGTTAAAAAAAGCCCATTTGGGCTTAATATAAAAAAGCTTTCAGATTGTTTGATTCTTTAAATATCTTTTCCGCAAATTAATATCAATTTAATATTTTATATGCATATCTTTGGTGTTTGCAAGCATACTGATGCAATTTGGATACTTCAGAATTTTGCATTAATTTATTTCCTTTCTATGATTCCAAATTTCAATAAATAATTCAATGAGTCGCATCTTCGTATTTCTTAGCTTTCTTTTGACAGTCCCTCATATGTTCGTTATTGAGTTCATGTCTGAGTTGCTGCCTGGCCTGAAAGTGTTCTGATGTTAAACAACTGAGGGAGAGATTTCGCTTTTGCATCAAAAAGCTCCATCGCGCATCAAAACTTAGACAAAAAAAAATTAAGCTTTTAAGTTGTGGCAAAAATTGTCCCCCCTTCGAAGCGCAATATATATATATATATTATTTTAGTCTTTATTTATAGTTGTTATTATACGCTCAGTATTGCATAGATTTTCTTTCCATTCGTGGGCTGAACTTTGTCTTCCCGAACACGTTTGGCTGTGTAATGTCTATCAGGGATCGATTGAATCTGCTCTGATATTTGCAACATTTTAAATCTATCTGCAATTTCTTTTTTGGCACACCTTTTTCTTACACTTTATTATTTGGTAAATATGAGTTTCTTTGTAAAGGATCCTTTGCTATATCCGTAAATGCAAAAAATAAATAAATAAATGAAATAAATAAATAAAAATAAATAAATCAAAATAAATAAATAAATAAAAATAAAGAAAGAAATAAAGAATTTATAAAATTTGCTTACTTACGAAGAAGCTACAAAATTCACTTTCATTACTAAAAGGTAATCAACCAAGAACTAACGTCAAGAGAAAGTGGTTAAGGAGAAAAAAAGAAAAAGCTACTTAACAATCTATTCATTAGGGGGCATTTTAGCCAATTTAATTTTTTGAATATTATAGTGTTGCCAAAAATATATACAGTTTTATAAAATACTTAATAAAAACAGACTTAAAACAAATTTTGATCCTAATAAAAGAGATTTAGCTTAATGTTTTAGAATAAAATAAATAATTTTTTACAAATCTGAAAGCTTTCAGATTTTATATTACTCCCAAAGGGGCCTTTAAAAAAATGTTTACACACATATACACCTTTCGAGAGCATTCGGGATAATGACCATTTGGGCTAAAAATATTAAAAACGGCACTTCTTTAGAATTACCGATAGACAGTCTCACGCGCTGGAGATTGCCACAGCTCATTTTAAAATCGTTGAGTTTGTTAATCAAAAATTCATTAAAGTTTTATAAAATAGGAAATAGACAATAAAATAAATTTGAAGTTCCGGCTTGCAGGTATTCATATTTAGGTGGAAGACTACGTTATTCAAAGTTTGATGGCACTAGGTATCTTCTTTTTTTCAAAATGCAAGAAGCATGCATTCATGCAGATTTCTTCATTATTTCATTTCTTTAAATATAATACAGGGCGATAATATCTGGTGACAACAATTTGAAAAGTGATAGAACGCTTTTAGTGATTCAGGGTAAAATTCCGTTTCGAGACTTAGCCTTTCTGGGCCCCTTTGAGCTAAAAATAAAATTAATTTATGAAAAAATTAAGAATGTTTATATGCCTAATAAATTTTATGCCTCTTTATAGCTTTCAAAGGAAAAAATATCGTATTTGTTAGTGCGTTCTCTCTTTTTGCTTTTACTTCTGAAGATCGAGAGGGGAAAATTATGTGACATATATTATTCCTAAAAAGAGAGTTAAGGGAAACAAATCAAAACGTGTGTAGCAATAGATGTATTAGCTTTACCATATTATATGTTTAAAAGAAACCAGTTGCAATTATTATTTTCAATATTATTCGTTTCACCTCCCACGTTGTATTACTGCTACCTATCCATATCTACATACCATTCCTGTGAATATAAAAGTTTCTAAATCATGGGCCAAATGTTTTATGGAGAAATATGCGACTAAATGGCAAATGGGAATACTAATACAAATATTGCCTAATTTGACTTTTCTCTAACACCTCTTTTTAGGAAATGTCTTCTGCCATTTTTAACGCCATTTCAAACAAAATCTTATAAAACTGTGTGAAAAAAAAAGTTTATTAATTTCGCTTAATAAAGATGACACTTAGAAGTCTCAAAAATCGTTACTTTCTCCGCGTCAAGTCAGCTTATTCAGTGAAGATACGGATGTAATATAAATTTTATTTTGATTGGCGATGTATCGCATTGCCTCTAAATGTGTCAACACCTCATTTCGATATAATCACAGCTTGTTCGTGCTTCGTCAGAAGCCCTAAGGGATGCGATGAATAGCAGGGTATTACGTAGAAAGGCTGCTTGCCGAATGATCTATGGCATACGAAATCAAATGGCGAAGATGAAAATTGGCGTTCAAGTTTGCGTTGTTCGAGGAAGCGGTGCTTGATCAAAGTCTTCCGAAATACTTTTCAAAATAAGAAACTAGAAGGGAAAAAAAAGCAAGCAAAGAGAAATTTCCTTGAACTAGCTTTTTCTGGGCTCAACATTCTCGTGTTTCTATGTTTGTTGGGTTTGTGTAGCTGATAAGGTGAGAGAATATTTGAGTACGTGTTTTTGTGAAAGTAGCCGACTTGAAAGTAATGACAAAAGTCTATGTTATTTTATACATTAATTTCTTGGCTGCTTTTGATTTTCTTAAATGCTATGTCCAAGTGTTTTCTACTGGGGACTATGTTGAGGATCACGAGAAAATGCAATGTTATATTAATATTTCTTCAGTTAGTCTTGAAATAACATTCTAAGCATTCAGTTAATCTGATAATTTTTAACTGAAGTTCATATCATCAGCTCGTGAAAAGTTCTGTATCTTTATTTCGCTAAGACCACATTCAGATCCTAAAATCAAGTCCAAGCAAAAAATGAAGATGTTGCGATATATATATGTGACATTTTTTGTTCCGTTCCCGAAATCCTCATAACAGTATAGTGCTTATAAAGCAAAATAAATCATTTAGAAAAAAATTAAGAGAATTGTACAGCTACTTTTATTAATATTTATGCCATCAATATAATCAGTAAAAACATTTTTAACAGAAAACATTATTCATTTCTGTCAAAAAAATTTTTAATTTTCTGCTAATATATTCACTGATGATTTTTTTTTTTTTTTCCTGTTAACACTGAGATATCTGTTAGTAAACAGGTATTCAATGACTCGTTTTATAGTTTGCGTAAATGAAAATAAATAAGATTTTTTTCCTTTATTCATAATATATGCATTTGTAGAAATTTGCAAAAATCAAATATTTTCATGTATTTCATTGCAGTGAACTTAAGTTTCATCTCTGCACCTGACAAGAACCATCCGAATGCGATACAGATTATAGGGCAGAAATCTGGGCGCTACGTCTGTTTCAACAAGAAAGGAAAGCTAATAGCCAGGGTAAGTATAATAGCAGTTTTTGTCTCATGATTACTTGTTCAACATAAGTAACAGGTAAAAAATGAAACTTAGTTTCCTTCAATTATTTCATTTAACTGAATTTTTAATGCAATAATATTAACGATATTTTGAAGGCTGTACATCTATTGTATTGTATATCTATAATGTAGCGCATAGCTCATTATAATTTATATTAGAGAGAGGCTACCGTGACTACGGCGGCTATATTTCAAAGCCCAGGCCTACATCCCCAACTTTTAGGTACAACAAATAATTTTCTAAACCCTGATAATCCTATTTTTCTATTATAAAAACAAAGAATGTGGGCATTAGGGGCTCCAAGAAATATGTTGTATTTATGTTATATGCTGCACAAATAATGTCCTACACTAGCACTATTTGTGCAGGGGTCTATGGAAAGTATCGGGGGACGTTGATTATTATGCAATTTTTTTTATCGGAAATAATCTTACAGTAGGTTATCTTCTCAGCATTTCGAATAATTGTATCTAAATTAGAATTACATGCTGAATTTGAAATAATGCATATCTCTTCTTTCTTTAAAATATCTAATTTTAAATGTAGTATTATGCAAGTATGAGTACCTTCTAAAATATATGATATTTCCTTGAACTTTAAATGTGTAAAAAATTGTGTCGTAATTCAGATACTTCCCACTATATCGTAGACTTATATCTGAAAAATCGAATGATATTTATAAATCTGAAAAAATCGAATGATTTTTTTAAATCTGAAAAAATCGAATGATACTTATAGAAAAAGCTATTGAAGTGATGTACATTTTAGCCCACGCAGAAATGCCTAGTTGTTATAAATGATTTGTTGTCGTTTTATTCCTTAGTAGAACATTGTGTAAACATAGTTTCGGTTTACTGCCGTTTCTCCATATCCACGGGGTAACTTATTTGGGATTCAGTTCAGCGGATGAAAGGAAATTTCCCAAAAGTATCGTTAGTTCCGAAATTAAAAGAAGGGTTAACTGGGCATAGCATAGCTAAAATACTTTCAGTACTGTTTTTCGACTCATCTGCACGCTCATTACGCCCGATATCACTAAATATAAGAATGAATATAGTCATTACAGAACCTTATGTGTATTCTCAGGATACAAGAGTGTAAGCTCCAGTAAATCCTCCTCTCAAAATGTGAGCTCACGCCCATTCTTAATCGTCATAAATATATTGGTACGAATCTCGACTATCAGTGAATAGTGAATAACTTACTTATATCCCGTATCACATTCCTTTTTACTGTACAAAAACTGTGTTGCTTCATTTCTTACTCATATTTTGCTGATTAAGTTGAAGTATCAGAATCCCTTAGTTTCATAGGTTCCAGAGAGGGTATATTCTAATAAAAACATACTTCATATAAATTTTCTGAGTATGGAGTATATAGTAGTGCATTGTATACTTGCCTATGTTATACGAACATCATATTTACTCAAAAATAAGATGTAAATTTTTGTTCTAAATACTAATAGAGTCTTATGGGTATTTATGGTAATTAAATTATGGGTAAATTAAATTTCAGAATGAGGAACAGAGCTTTAAGTGCCCCAAAAGAATAATTATTCTTTTTTAGCATTAAATAAACACACAGTTAATTACTAAAAATATAAACTGCTTAGCCACCGCTAATTATAGCAATCGCGTCTAACTGAGCGATTTCAAGTTACGCCTGAATCCACTTTGCTGATTACTGATATGCCTAAAAAGGAAGTAGGTCATAATGTTAGATAGCTTAACTTTCATTTTAACCAGAAGCATGCTGTTATCAAATATTCACCTAAATTTTTATTTCTTAAAATTTAGCCTAAAATGTAAGGCGGTCTTAGTTTCGAGTAAATATAATTTAGTTCATGTACCTGCGGTAAATCTTGGAAAATCTTACCTTCTGATAAGGGGCACTACAGGACAATTGCTGTTTGAGGAACCTAGTTCGCGACAAAATGGACTCCCTTAAAATAGCAAGGGCTCACTTGAGATAGAAAAGGCAACACTCCAACTTGAAATTCATTGTGAGAAGGGGACAACGTCCAGGTATGTCAGCGGGAAACACCATCATTCACCCTTCCTGAATTCAACAAACAGATCTTCATTTACTCCAGATATCTCACTTCTGCTTCAATGGGAACGCTACTTGTTTTTGTTGTGTGTGCCCTCGGGGGTCGTTGTATCGGCTGTGTACCTGCCCAATTCACTTTGAATTTGTGCCGCCTATGGAAAAGAATCGTTCTGTCACGGCTTGATGTCTGTTTTTAGTTAATCTTCCTCGGAAGCTATTTTCGGAAAGTGACAGTTTTCGGTGCAGCTACACCATTCATTCTGCCACTGTATTTCACTTTTGTTGGCTTTTATTTTTGTTAGCAAGCCGATAGTTTTCTAGATGTCAGAATCAATTAACTTTTGTATAAGCTGAAGAAAAGTCGTGTCCATCGCATTTCGTTTGAATGCGTAGAAAGCAAACAAAAATAGAAAAGCAATCTTTAAACAGTGTTATAAAAGGATGTGTGACGCACTAACGTACACCTCCCAATACGATTTGTCATTTCAGATTCATTGCGCTGGTATTCTGATAACGTGTTACATTTTGAAAATAATTTTCTGTTTATTAAAAATTAAGCTATATGTTTCATGAAGCGCAACGTAAAGTGAAATCAACACAGTTGCTTAAGTTCTTTTATGCTTTGTGAAAGCGGAATAAAAGTGAGATGTAAATTGAAATAATTTATCAAAGGTTAAAAAAAAAATCTTATGTGAACGCCACCTGACTTCCGTGTATGACCTATTAATTTATGCATTTTTTTTTTTTTTTTTTTTTTTTTTTTTTTTTTTCCTCCCGCATTTCATTTAAACTTATTTTCTCGAATTTCATTAGAGATATATTTCTCATTCAATAAATACACTTCTTATTTCACGACAAAGCAAAAATACGGAAGAATTCAAAACATCATCATTAAAAACTGTAAAATACAGTAAAACATAAAACATTAAATACAGTTTAAAAAAAAAATTTTTTTTTTTACAATTAAAATTAGAGTTTCCATGTAAAAACAAGCAATTCGGCAAGCGGGGAAGCAGATTTTTCGGTGCAAAAAACTGAAAGTCTGTATTTGGTCCAACTGAGCAAAAAGACATTGAAGCTGCAGAAATTGACATGATTCACCATTCCACTGAGTTTCAAGTGTATACAAATGGCGGTTCTTAACTCGCCACTTAAAATTTTAAATTGTTGATAATTCTAGAACTATTGCATACAGATTAACATAAAAACCTTAACTAGAACATAAAAACTACATAATTCAATCACTTTTAAAGCAAAAAAAAATGCGCAATTTACCAACATAAAGAATAAAAAACTAAGCTCACCGAGATGCAGTTATGTGTTTTCAGACTCAACCACTGAACTACTAATGAGAGAATGTTTACAAACGTTTAACACAATGTTAGTTCAAAATCTATTAATGTATTTAAAATATATATATATTCATAAATCGGACCGCAAGTATTTTAAAATGCGCAGTCTAAATAATAAAATATAAATGTTTTATTTTTAATATCTGAAATTGGAAATTTCTTTTATTTTCTTTTGTTTTTATTTAGTTAGTTTTAAGAAGAGCCCCGGGGGGGCAGAAAAATCTTAAAATTCTACTAAACGTTTACTATAAAAGCAAATGAATGTATCAGCCATATGGTAAATGAAAAGTTATACATATATTCATTTAAAAGAGTTTAGTGTCGAATTGTTTGATACAATAAGTATCAGTTATTGGTTTTCAAAATCTTTCAGCGACTGAAGTGAATAGTAATTTAGCTGTAAACCATGATTTCTCAATGATTTTGGGAATGGAGCAATTAAAGCTTATATAAGCTTAATAGACATATATTGTACCTGTGATTTTGAAACAAGCAAAAACTGTAAAGCGTTATTTTACAGTTTTACCTTTGTTTACCGTTGTTTTAATGGTAATTTAGCGAATGTGGCCTATTTTAAAGCAAAATAATTTATCTTCGCTATACACCGAGAGTTTTTACTATCGACGCTAAATTTGCTTCGCGTTTCTATACATCTTTTCCAAAAGCTGAGGCACGATTCTGGTTAATTTCTGAATCTTATTTTCATTTCGATCGCTAAATTCTGAACTTTCACATTTCACACTTAGGTAATAATAGATGAAATGATACTAATAATACTATTTCTCCAGGCCGTTTGCGAGTGAAATTTTAGCAGTAGACACTCTTTTTCTTTCAAAGCTGTGAAAGTCTTCACTTCTTAGTCGGATCGCTCTGAATGAAAAGGCCTAACAACTGCTTCTCTTTGACAACTCTCTTCCATCTGATCAGTAAACAACAAGGTGGTCTACCTTTATAACCCATCCCTATACCCATTCAGTAAAACTCACATAGTTCGCGTTGACGGCTGTTATGGACTGTGTTATTTACTGTAGCCGCTTTTGTCCAGGAGAAAGAGTTCTCCTGCCCATCCCCTCATTTAACTTCATCCCTGTGGGGTAGCCTGCTCTCATATCTTCCGACTTCAGAAAAATTGTAGCGTTTACAAAAAAAAAAGGGGGGGGGAAGCGAATACTTTTTTAATTGGCTGGATGTTTTGTAGCATTTACGTTTCGAAATAGAATATGAGCGTTCATGGACACTGTACTGCGGAAATTTAATATTGTGAAACTTGATTTGATTTTAAAGTATAGAATTGTGCAAGGAAAGAGTTTACTAGTAGAGCATTGTTGAGAAACTGGTAAAGAATTTGAATGTTGTTTCGGTATGAAATTTATCTGTATGACGTTTCGGAAGTGAAATGTGCAGCTTCTCGTGAAATTGTCGAAAATAACTTCAATACTGGACTTGTTATATATTTTAAAATAAAGAAGAAAAACCAACTATAAATCTTTTTTTTTTCTTTACTTATATTTAGCTTCTTTGCTAAGAAACATCTCTTTACTGATAATCGAAGCACTCTTA